CTTTATCTCATTTTACATCAATGGAAGAAGAAAAAAAAAGAGGGGGAATGTTGAATCGAAATGCTTACACTTTTGGCGGCAAATGCAAGCGTCTGTATAAGTAACCAAGCAAAGGGTAGCATTTGAAAGTCTCATTTGCAGTGGCTGCTGCTTGCTCTGATTCAATTCTCTGTTTCTTTATATAATAGGGAATTTGGAGTTAATGATATGTTTTCGAAATTTTCGGGAAAAAATGAGATATCAATTCTTAATCATAATGTAATCTTAATGCTGACATTTTAAAGATATTAGTAGATGTACTGCCATTGACAGTCAGATTTTAATTACGATACTGGATTATTTTCAATCATATAATTAATATAAAAAACAATTAAAATAATAAAATAGCGATTTCATTGGAATATTTTCGTTGAATAAATATTCGAAATTGAAGGAGAATATATTCACCGAATTACATGATCAGGGCCGTGGTTAGGTTGTCGGGGTCCTGTGCAAATTATTATAAAGGAGTCTCTATTTTTTAGATATATTCGATTCCAGAACCCTTATTTTTATGCTTCTTAATGGCAATAATTGATAAATATACTCGATTTCGGGGCCCTATTTTTATATATATTAATGGCAATAACTGATAGATATATTCAATTTCGAGATCCCTATTTTTTAAAGGTCCTGCGCGGTCGCGCAACTTGCGCCCATTAGCCACGCCCTTGCACATGATAGAAAATAACAAATTAGAAATTATGAACCGACAAAAATGAGAAATTAGAAAAGGATTATATGAATGTGCATCATACATACATACATATATAAATCTCATATTTGATATATATATATATATATATGAGCATGTTTGTACCACAACAAAATCACTTATATTATTTTTGGTATCGCGAATCCATTTATAAGAGTGGCATGATTTCCGATAGTCACATTCATATTAACCGAGTTATATAACTTATTTTTTTCAATTATAATAATTTATGTTATCTTTACATAATATAACTGAATTTCATTATGAAACTTCGTTATTGTTAATGTATTTACATTTCAATAATAGTCTATAATTTTTTTTAAATAATGGTAATTGATATCATTAATAAAACGAAATCTTCCTCTAAGAATAACGTCCAACATCAAAAGAATAAAGTAACCTTCATAAAATTCCTTATCGCTATCGAATGAGCTTTACGAAGTGATAAAAGAGTAGTGAGCAAACCAAACAATTTGGTAGGTGTTTTTGATTATATCGGCAAATAATATTTTACAAAAGAGGGAATCTGATAATACATTACCATTGACAAACTAATTAGAAAACAAATGTCGTGAGAGTCTTTATGTGAGCACCAACACGACCGCAAAGGTATGTGAAAAACGTACAAAAAGTCATAAGAAACGTGCTACAAGAGCAAAGAAAAGCATCTCACAAAGACAGAGATTCTAATTTAAAATTGAAAAAACTCAAAAAGAAAAACAAAGAACGTAGAATGGAAAAAAAATAATCACTGACAGTCGACAATCAATATTAAATTGATATCATCGTCGACTAAATAAAAAATAAAAGAAGATAAAGACGGACATAAAATTATTGAGAGAGAGTTCAGGCTAGGGAAAAAGAATAATAGTCTACAATTCAATTTGCTTGAAATCCAACTTTTGTTATACTCGTTTCCCTTAGCATGTTTCTTCAATTACACTAACGTAGTAACGCGGAAAAACACTTTGCATGTAAAACCTAGAAAACAAATGAATTATAGTCATCGTTGAGTACCCGAGACCATTAGCAAATCATGGGTTACAGTCAAGCCACTGGCCCACAAAAATTGAAGTTAAAACCCATTATGAGGAATTTAACATTACCCAAAATCGAATCCTTTGAATGATTATCACCAAATCATAGGCTGTTGTCACATCTTAGGCTCAATTAACTCCCACTGTGAAAATTTTGACAATAATCGACCTTATATTCAATCAATTACTGCCCAATCATGAGCCTCAGAAACGTCAACAATGATTATGTGGCGTCAATGTAGAATTTAACACGTAAATATGAATAATCTCATTATTTGTTCATAATCATTTACATAACAAATCAAAGCTCATATAATCAATAAATATATATATAAAAAAACATAGTCGTCGTTATTACCACAGCTCCACTCAAAATTAAGTTTCAAAAAATTTTATAATTACTTGGTAGAAATTAGGGTCCAGAGAGACTGTCAAATAATCCGTCAAACCACCATGTTTGCGAGGCTGTCAAATTGTCTCATGCTATGACCTTGGCATCCTGCACTCTTGTCTATACCTTCGTTCTTGCATATATGAAAGAAAAAGCCGAGGTTGTAAAACCAAAGTATAGGGTTTTTAATTATAGTTAAACAAAAGTCCAATGGCATGCCGACCACTTTGTAGTCTTTTCTCCAGCTCCCTGTACTTCTCCTTGTCTCTTTCCTTCAGCTTTTAAATCCCACACACATATATATACATGCAGTTATGGGTTGATAGATACAGAGAGTAGTAAAAACCAGAGGAAGGTCGATGAGCTTAAATTTCCCCGAAACATGTCTCTGCACCAGTTGTGGTGTCTGTCAGCCAATGATTGAACTGTAAGTCATTGCTTGCACATCATTTTCTTTTCATACACAAAATATATTCCAACTCTCTTTGATCCTGTACTAATAATTCTGTCACCATTTTCCATAGAATGAAGCTAATAAAACTTTAAGTTTGATTTTAGGGTTTATGGTATGGCATTCATTCTGCCTGGCTCCCTGCATGCCAACTATGGATGCTGTCAATAAGTGTTGGCCCTTCCTAGTTGGCATCCGAGGAGTCAGGCAGGTCGATATCACTTACATACCGACTAGCAACCATGGACAGCTCTTGCACGGAGTTCTTTGCTTGCTGGTCATTGTTACAGTGACTATGTTGTTCATGACATGGAGAAAATTGAAACCTTAGCACCCCGCCTGTCTGGTATTTGGACCGAGACAGTTAGGAAAATTCCCTTTCGGTTAAGATACAATGGTACAAATGCAATTCTCTTTGAAAAAAGGGGCGGGCCAAACTTAGACTAAATATAGCAAATTGGTTTTGAGGCAATTGTCCTCGTCCCCTTGTTTCGGACATCATTTTTGGCTTACAACCTATGGATGGAGATTTTCACTCCATGGAAAGACAAAGTTCCCTGTCTGTTCTTTCATTCTGTCTCTTTCCCAGAAAAAATAATCACAATTTCTGCTAAAAACAAACCAGAATGCTGACGGATTTTCTTCTGCAATTTTGTTTTGGCACGACTTATTATTTTTCTATCACATGGTCATAAGCTAAGATCTCAGCTCCCTTTAACCCCCTGAAACTTTCCAACACAAGGTAACGTTATTTTCCCCTATATATATATATATATATATATTAGATAGGGTTATATATATAACATATATGTACAATCCTGGGAAAATTTTCATGACAAGATCAGACCACATGCAGTGGAATTGAATCATTAGAGGCTTTTTGCATGAAAAATCAATAAAATTTGCATTTAGAAATGGCATTTCATTTCCCCATGAGAGCTCAGTCAGTTGCAAGCTCGGCGTATTATGCAGAAAGAATAACCGAAGAACCAAGCCCTACGAGCAATAAAAACGCTCAGACCACCGTCACGTTGGTGTACCAAACGAATATAGTAGACTATTGTCGGAACGTCAAGGTTCTGTGGTGCAAGAACGCTATGAACCATTCTCTCAGCATCATGATGAATAACAAGCAAGGGAATTTCCAGTACTCGTGCAAGATCGATCTGAAGCCTTGGCATTTCTGGAGCAAAAAAGGGTATAAATCGTTTGAGGTTGAAGGAAACCAAGTGGACGTTTACTGGGATCTTTATTCGCTAAATTCACCAGCGGCCCCGAACCGGTCTCGGATTATTACGTTGCGCTAGTTGCTGACGAGAGGTGGTTTTGTTATTGGGGGATTACAAGAAAAAAGCGTACAAAAGAACGAAAGCGAGACCGGCTTTGGTTGAACCTCTCCTGATTTACAAGAAGGAAAACGTTTTTGCCAAGAAAAGCTTTGCGACCCGAGCTAGATTCGAGGACAATAGCAGAGAACACGACATTGTTGTTGAGAGTTCAATAACCGGGATGAAAGACCCTGAAATGTGGATTAGCATGGATGGGGTAGTTTTGATTCACGTCAAGAATTTGCAATGGAAATTCAGAGGGAACCAGACAGTTCTGGTCGATAAGCAACCGGTTCAAGTCATGTGGGATGTCCATGACTGGTTGTTCAACAGCCTCGGAACCGGCCACGGTGTGTTTATATTCAAGCCAGTGACGGCGGAAGCAGAGAGTGACAAGGAAGGAAGTGGACACGGTGGAGGAGGAGGAGGCAGCGACACTGCAAGCAAGTATTATTCTACACTAGGTGTCGACACCACATCGGAATTCAGCCTGTTTCTTTATGCCTGGAAGATTGAGTGAAAATACTGAAAGTTTTTTTTTTTTAATTGCAGTTTCCATTTTGCAAAAAGATATTTTACAGGTAATTTCATGCACGTATAATGTTCAAGTACTGTAAATTATAAACTCCGATTTACAATAATATTGTATATATTACTTTTGTTCATATAATAACATTTCTCTTATATGTTTCATCTTTGTGAAACGTCCAGGAACAAAAATGTTCATTTTTTATATAAAAAAAAGCATACATTTAAAAGATTAATAGCTAACAAATCAAGAATAGAAAATGAGAATTATGATTCTATCTGACTAATTATACAACAAAACGGGAGTGATATGAACGATACAACCAAAACTATTTGAAATTTTTTGGATAAAATTGAATAGAAAGAAGTGTAACAGGGTAACAAAGCAGTTTCTCCTTTTTGTTTTATTTTATTTTCTCCAATAAAACCCTCTTAATAAGGAACGACTGTTCCGGGAGGAAAGAACTAGTGCGTTTACTGTTTCTTCCCGTCACTGTTTCCATGGACTAAAGAAAAATCTGGAATCACTCTCACTCAAAAATAGCGAAGAAACCCAATGTGGAAATTTATGGGGATTAAAGGTTGCTTCGAATGTGTTCTTCATTTACCAAGTCGAAGATGGGTTCGGAAATGCCATCGCCCGAGCTCTCAACCCTACTCTCCAGCCTTACAGTAAAGTGTGAGTCCCCTCTCTCTTTCTGAGTCTCTCTTTGGCTGATTCCCATTGAAAGCCCTGGATTCAGAAAGTTGCATTTTCAATGTTTATATGGTTTCAGCTCAGAGGTATTAAACTTGGAATTAGGGGATGTAAAATTGAATGGCTCTGTTACTCAATTGAGAGATAAAGACAATTTGAAGGCCATGTTTCCTTCCTTTAGCCATTAATATCGAAACCCATTTATTTAAATTACAGTTTTTGTCATTTTTAATGTACTTTTGTGGATTTGCGTATAAACGAGGAACCTATGAGCTACTCCATTTTTTAGAGTGTTTGGTTCCTGATAAAATAAGAGGACTGCCCGATGTGATATTGTTATTTAGTAATCTAAAAGGTTAAAAGCTCATAGGAAGTGAGCTTAATGGAACCCTCTTTCACTAGTGAACTTTCGCCATCTACATATTCAAACGTGAAATTTTCGAGTTGAATCAAGTCTAACCTTTGGATTTTCCCTTGTGGCTAATTTAGAAAATGTTTCCCCACTGGATTGATGGGTTCTTAGTTGCTAGTCAATGTATATTCGTAAGTTATGATCTTATTTTGTTTTTGAAAACAAGGAAATAGAATGAGATTTTGGAGCTTTTATTCGCTAAGGGATGATGAATGTCATTTAAGTAGTTGCAGAACAGGAGACATAATCTAAACTTAGGATAGAAATAGATTTAACGAGTGAATCGAATGGTAGCTGCATCATTTTCTTTTTAAGCCTTCTTTGTGTTGGTTTTGTGTATCTGGCAATCTTAGTGGTTAAGCAATCATCCTTGAGAAACAACGATCTTGACGCCATACGTCTTCAAGTATGGGTGTATCAATACACTGAATTACTAGCATCTGGGTTTACGAGCAATGCCTAGAATAATCACTTTAATACTGTCTTTGGTAGGAAGGGAAGTGTAAGGAAACGATAAGGAGTGGAAAGACAAACTACTTTCTTTCCACCCCTTCATTAGTTTAGGAGGAGAGAAATAAGAGGATTGAGGGAAATGGGAGCATTTTTATTTTGTACTCATTCAACATAAATTTAGCAATTTTAATCGAAACTGTACCAAACATACTGAAAGAATTTGTTTTCTTCATCTCCATTTTCCTTCCCAAAATACGTGGTGTGAAGTGCATATTTATGTAATTTTATCTTTTGTTTATCTTGGTTGCAGGCAACTATGGTAATGATAGATCATTCGGAGCCGCCAGCACTGCCTCATGCTATATATTCAGTTCTGACAAAAATTGTGGATGCAGAGCACATATCATCTACTGTGCCCACTATCATATCCCCTTTTCTTGTACCGGCATCAAAGCTTAAGTTGGAAGGTAGATTGATGACAACAAATAGCGGAAAGCTCCCTCTTTATGGTATCCAAGTAGGCCCTGAGACTGATGTAAGTCGAGCCATTGCTTCCAAAACCCAGAAGCCACCTCCTCCATCTTTGCAAATTCATTACGAGCCTCTGGCCTGCTTTCTTCACCTGGTTCATGCTTCAAACTTGCCGACTTCTATTATAGTTGTCCAACGAAGTCAAAGCCCATTTAATCAAGCTTTAAATGTGGATCTACAGGTATTCATTCTTTTGTCAATTTAAAGCAAATGTATTCTGTGGCTTGCTTGAATAGAATAAGCTAGAAATGATTATAAAAACAAGATTCCTGTGGGACCATACTATGCATTACCTTAATTGGTTTCATTGTTTTCTCCTACATGCTGTGGGAGGGGGCAGGTGTTGAGATTAATATCGAATTATATGTAATCTAATTCTGGGAAATGGCATTTCAGACCCTCTGTGAGATAGGAGAGCTTGCCGCAAAGGCAGCAAGTGGTGGTGGTGGAGAGCCATGGCGCACATTCCATGGTTAAATGTTTTAGGTTCCTGCAGGAAGCAGAAACTGAGGTTTAGCATGTGAGTGGGTGCACATTGTAGTCAAAACTAGGGCCCGTGGTGCTGAATTTTTTCGGATATGATACGAAATGAAGTCAGCAGACAGCAGCAGTGGCTTAAAATAGTTGAAAGATGATCTTATATGTTCCATATTTGTCGGATGTATCATATAATCTGGGAATTCAGTGCCTGATAGGTGTTCATCATGTCGAAAGTTGATCCAACATGTTTCTTGAATGGTTGACTGACCCCATCTATTATTTCTTTCAGGTTATTTGGATGTTTCTTTCTTTAACCTTTGTACTTTTTTAATTTCAAACTTTAAAATATTTGAAGTTGACAAGAATTAAACTTGATTACCCAAAATTTAATGGATGATAGTTTATAATATAAAGATTTATATTTAATGCATAAACACAGTGAATTATATGGTGTCAATTTATGAAAATATATAATTATTATATTTATTAAAAGTTTATACAATGATAGAGTGCCGAATTTGTATGCTCAAATCCTCACTGTTTATGTTGGATGATTAGATTTGTATTTGTATGTTGTTATAATAATGTTTAAATTTTCATATTTGATTTGCGGAACAGGAAATGACCGTCAGAATGTTGTTCTCAACAACCAAGGACTCAGCTGTCTCAGGTTATATATATATTTTGGTTTTTTATAAAAGAGCAGTTATGTCAGAAAAGTTGTGCAGTGATTTTGACTTCACATTGTTGCTTGTGTGAGCATTTTGTTGGTAAATTGTTCCAAAAGAAGTGGCGCCTTGCCGTAACATCGTTAGTAAATGGCAGGTTAGATTTCATTTCTTTCTGTGGTTGTTTGAAGTAACCAAGAATCCAATGACTTGGAAGTGAAAGACACTCTATTGATACCCTAAACCTCCTCTATTAAATGCAGCCTAATATCAACTCGTTAACGTTTATTCTCATCGTTGCAGATTGAAACGCTGCGTTTTGAACAGTTTGCACACCTCAAATATTCTCATGTGGCTTTTTGCAGCTTGTTTCCTCTTTAAAGTTTTCATTTAATTTAGGATAAATATAAATTTAGTATCTAAACTATTACTTGTTTTATTTGGACTTAAACTTTATTTTTTTAAATCATATCTAACGTTTAATTTATATTTCAATTCAATACCATTTCGTTAAAAAATTAATAGAATTGTTAACATAACATTTTTTTTATTTTTTCAATGATGATATTCTATTATTTTATGGTGACACAACAACACATCATTAAGTTTTTAACGGTAGGGTACCAAAATGAAACTTAAACTAAATATTAAGTATACTTTTTTTAAATAAAGTTTAGATAATAAAATAAAACAATAAGTAATAATTTAAATTTATAGTGAATATTTTTATATTATTTGGTTGGAAAACAAGAAAATAATATTTTGTTTTCTCAATTTATTACATTATCTTATGATATTCCCATAGGCACCAACCTTGGAGCAATCTCAGCAAAGTGATACTTTTTGCAGCATTTTTTTTAATTTGAAGAAGTAATAATAGTAAAATATTATTCCTTACCTACAAATGGTGAAGTGATGGAGCGATAATGTCGTAAAATAATTTTAAATTTAAAAGCAAATCTTTGCTAAACCCCAACCTCACCCTTCAACTTAAAGTTCAAGTGGCATACAAAATTATTAAATAATTTTCTTTTATGAAATATAAATATATTATTGTTGTTGTTGCTGTGCTTATTATTGAAGAATATCATGGGCTTTACTTTTTAGGTTGTTGTCTTGTCTAATTGGATTTGAAGCAGCTGCCTCATCCATAAAGCACATAACAAACCCTTTTTTAATTTACTATCCATATTTTATTACTGCAGTTAACAAAATAGTATGTGTGTATATATATAGATGTATTTAAAATATATTGGTAACATTAAATATAATAAACTCATGAAGTGACACTAAATAATTTTTTTAATATTTTTGTTTTAATCAAACGTAATTTATAAAGTAAATCATATATTAATAGGTACGTATGTTTCAGGTAAAACAAGTTGATCAATATAAAACATTCTTCTAGTTAATAGATTTTTTATATTTTTAAAAAATGACTTACAAAAAGTTAGATCGTATGTTATTTTTTAAGTTTTTCACTACAAATATAAATACTCAAAATAATATTATTTTATATATTGAGTATTAATATAATGTTTTAATATCATTTTATTAAAATATTAATAATTAAAATATTTAAAATATATTTATTAATATTTTATTAATATAATATTATAATAATATACTCAATTATATTATAATAATATATGATATTATATTATTATTTTAATAATATATAATAAATTATTAATAAAATTTATAATAGTTATTAATTTCCTAAAAATAATATTATTAAATTATTAATAATAAACAATATTATTTATGTATTTAATATTAATATAATGTTTAATAATATTTTAATAAAATACTTAAAACGTATTTATTAATAATTTTAAAATATAATATAGTATTTTTATTTTAATCATATAATTTATAGTATTTTTATTTCAATAGAATATACTGATCTTAACATTTTTATTTATAAAATTATGAAAATAATGGTTTAATAATAATATTAAATAAATTATTCTAATATCTAAATAATAATAATATTTAATTTTTTCATAAATAATATTATTTATTTTATTTGATATTTTTAATAAATAAAATTTTAACAAAATTATTAATTAGTGAAAAATGATTTATATAATATCTTTCAAATAGTTTAAAATGTTTTTTAAAAATTATTATTTTTAAATATGTAATTTATTTTACATAAAATATTTTTAATGAAATAAAAATACCCTAATTTAAAATGTCTTAAAAATACAAAATGCAACATGAGAAAATTTTTATATACTTAAAAATTGAATTTTTTAAAGTTATAAATCCAACTAAAATTATACTTAATTTTGCTACTAAAAAATTTTGCTTTTTTATATTCATTTATGTTTTCTTTAAATCGGATTTCCAATTTAATACTTTATTTTCTCTCTCTCTCTCTTTACACTTTTTCTCAGCTTATGTCATCAGATTTCCTAATATACACCCACCAATTTCTATCTCAGATCTCTTACTTAAACTGATCACATAAAAAATTAAGAACAAAATTAGAAGAAATTCATAGTGAGGATAGACAGATGAGAAATTCTGGAAAGCTCATTGTTCTAGGTTTCTCGTAATCTTTTTAGAATCTTTTAATTTTGAATGTTTCAGCTAGTAACCGATCTTGTCCTCTTAATGTTTTATCTTCTATTATGATGGTAAATTTCTTATTTTTGTTCATTTTTTGTTCTTAATTTGATTTTCCTTTCTGGGTATTTTTCTTTTCTTCACTTAATGTTAGTTTTGTATCTGGGTTTTGGTTTTTCCTTTTTTTGGGGGATAAGTATTTCTGGGTCTCTTGGTTTGTTATTTGATCCTCTGTTTTCTTTTTCTGCTTTAGCTGTTTACTTTGATTATGAAGTTAACATATTTGGATTGAACTTCAATATTTTCCTTTGATTTCTGTTAAATTTTTACCTTTTTTGGATAGTAGATTGTTTTATTTTAAATGTTTTGAGATTGAATTAGTTTTGCTTATAATTCTTTTTCTCGGAATGGTTATTCCCCTGCTAGTTCATTTTTATCAAAAAATATTTTTTTTTCTTATTTTATTTCACTGTTTTAGCCGTCATGGATGACTCTAAAATTTGATGAGGTATGTTTTCTATTGTACTTGCTGTTATGTGTGTGTTTTGGACATTAACTAATTCTTTTGTTGACATTGATTTCGCGGTGCTTAAAACTGTTTACTTTTTTTGTTGTGATCATAACATTATAGAGACTTTTACCCTTGAATAGTGCTGATTACGTGAAGTCTTAGTCTTCTATGACTAAATTGTCTTCTGGAATTTTGACCCTGAGCTGTATCATTATTGTCTGAGATGTAGGAATTAAGCAACCTAACTGATAATTTCAGTTTTCTCACTGATTGGCTTGCTTTTACTCAGACATGTGCTGAATTCTCTTGTAACAGCTAACCTTTTCTGTTAACCTTTGACAGCTATTGAAGTGCGAGGAGAAATAGCGCAGTCTATGATCATCTCAGAAGCGACTTGCCCCGGTTGATATATTGTTTGCTTACAAGTTTTTAGCTCTTGTTAGTAGTAGTGTGATTGAAATGGGTTACATTTGTGATTTCTGTGGGGAACAACCACCGATAGTATATTGCCGGTCTGATGCCGCCTGTTTATGCTTGTCTTGCGATCGAAATGTCCATTCGGCTAATGCACTGTCGAAACGCCATTCGAGAACATTGTTGTGTGAGAGATGCAATTCACAACCTGCTTTTGTTAGATGTGAAGAAGAAAGTGTATCGCTCTGTCAGAATTGTGATTTGATTGGAAACGGTGCCTCTACCTCAAATTCGACACATAAGAGGCAAACAGTTAATTCTTACTCTGGTTGCCCGTCATCTGCCGAACTTTCTTCCATACTGTCGTTTTTCTCACAATCCTCTTCAGCAGTTGAATCTACCTGTGAGCAGGAATTAGGGCAAATGAGTATCACTGAGAACATAGAGAGGACTTCATGGTGTCTTATTGAAAATACCATCAGCCATATTGATACTGGTGTTGCTGAAACCAATCATGATCACATTGTGGATAGAGAAAGTACTTGGGGTGCGTCATGCATTCCTGAATTCGGATCTGCACTACCATTTCTTGGTCAGCCAGCTGGGACAACAGATGCATTGTTAACCAAGGTAAATGATGAACTTGTAATATTTGTCTTTTAAGAATTTAGATACTGTTTTTGATGTACTTCCAGGCCCTTACTTAGTCCCATGGGGTAATACCATAATAGTAAACAACTACAATAAGCATTTGGTGAAAATGAGTTTCAATTTGCTAATGTATTCTTAAATATGCATTATACGCCGAAAAACACATTAACAGTGACTGTTGAGTGCTAATCGCTAATTGTTCTATGGCTGGAAAACCAGCTTGACATTAAGGTGTCGACTTTCTTCTGGGGAGGAACTATATGTAAATGATTTTGTTCTTTCAGTAAATCTCTGTTCAGTTTGTATTTTTATTGGTCTCTTCAGATATTTCTGTTTCTTGGCCCAAAAGCAACTTAAATGTGAGGTTAATATTGTAGATAACTATTCATGTTGGCCTTTACTGTATAATTACTAAGCCTGTAACCTCATCTTCGATTATATTTTGAATCTTATGCCTGTTTTTGCCATGGGTTCATAAACTCAAGATGTAGATCTCTCCTATTTTACTCGCATGAATTACTGCCTGAACGTGTGTCACCCTCTATATCATTGAAGTTTTACACTTTTGTTTTTAATTGAGACTTTTTTTTTTTTTTTTGATAGGAGTTTTAATTGAGACTGAAAAGGGGAGTGTGAAGGTGATAGGAAACAATAAACTCAAAGCTGTCTGAGGTCGTTGTTGAAAGTTATCAACATTTTATTTTAATCATAAAAGAGTGATTGGAATAACCATCCATTATTAGTAATTCTCTAGAACTTTTGCATTGGATGGTCCCAGATAATTTTTGTCTTGTTTGTGAAAACTTCAGCATTTAAAATTTCTTCTTTATTATTAGTAGACACAATATGTTTCGTTTTGAGAACTTTGGCTAATTCTTACCTTGCTAATTTGCAGTTCTCTTGCCCTCAAACAAAGTATCCTGGACTTTGTGAAGACGATCTGTATGATGACTTCAATATGGATGAAATTGATTTGAACCTTGAAAAATATGAAGAACTCTTTGGGGCAACTCTCAATCATTCGGAAGAGCTTTTTGAGAATTGTGGAATTGATAGCTTATTTGGGGCTAACGATATGTCTGCTACTGATTCCAACCGTCAGGGTGGAGTGGCTGCTGAGGTTCTCTTATCTCTTTTCGTCTTGCTTAATGGTATCTGTATCATCATTTTTTTCTCTGATAGTAATATCACCAATTTTCAAGATGTTATGCTTTGTTTCCTGGTATTCTTAAATATTTTAGCCATTAGTTTTTCCCATTCTTTCACTTGGAGTTTATTTTGGTAGGGGTATCAATTTCATTTGTTGATCTTCGTTCTGAATAGCCACAAAAAGAACATATCCCTTGTGTCAGAAGTATCTACATGAAATCAATATCGTTGAGTTTCAGATTATGACCAAAGGAAGTTTACTGTCCTCCGATTTTCAGGAAAATATCCATCTTTTTAACAGTGTTGGTTGTATAGACATTGTGGTAGGATTCGTCAAGTTTGTAAGTATACTAATTACTAAGTACTTGGCCATTCAGTGTCGTCTTGAATTTGATTAGTGATAAATTGGTTTTTTCATATAAATTATGCACGTGTTCAAATGTTTGCTTACAGAATTGGAGCTTTTCTGTTTGAAATTACATTTTTGTTTTATCTCCCTTAGTAATCTTGCTGTAAGGAATCATCCCATGATGTGAACCCTGAGAATTTCAAGTTTCTATTCAGAAAATGTTCTTATGGTTGAATTAAATATTCTTGTCCAGGGCTCATCTCATGGATTGGTGAATTCCATCAAGCCAGCATGCAGCAATGCAGCATCTGCTGATTCCATGTTGAGCAGTAAAACGGATTTGATTTTGTATTTTTCGGCAAGGAAGGACCATTCAAGCTTCTCCTTTTCTGGCCTCACTGGAGAGACTAGCGGAGGAGATTATCAAGATTGTGGGGCTTCGTCAATACTTCTCATGGGAGAGCCCTCTTGGTGTTCTCCATCTGCTGAGGGCCCCTTCCCATCAGCTACTCGAAGTGATGCAGTCATGCGTTACAAGGAAAAGAAGAAGACACGGAAGTAAGTATATGCCACTAACTTATCTGTGCATTTTAGTTACTAATCCTGCCATTAGAGGAGTCCGTTTCACTGTGGTGCTCTCGAGTAAGCAAATGTGAATTGCGTTCCAATATATGCATCTGTCTGTATTTATCAACAATTGATCGGGAAGGTCCTATATTGTAGGTCTTTCAACATTTTATTTTACTTCTAGTCTTGTTTGCGATCATCATATACATGTTCAACGCCATCTGTGTTACATGATAGGTTTGAAAAGCGAGTAAGATATGCCACTCGCAAAGCAAGGGCTGATGTGCGAAAGCGCGAGAAAGGACGCTTTGTCAAAGCTGGCGATGCCTATGATTATGATCCACTGAACCCAACTCGAAGCTGCTGAGAGTGCAATCTTTTAACCATGCTTAGAACAAGGCAAGAAATGCCGAATGTTAGTTGGATACAGAAAATGCCATGAATAAATTGGCTGAGCCTGGTTGTCCACCACCATAAAATATCCATGGATTACGGCGGCATCATTCGCCTTGACCGCCATATTACACTCTAGCAAGTTTACCTGCTCAAATTCTTTTGTTTTTTTAGCGTTTCTGTTGCCATTGCCATTGTCTCGTGCTTGCTCGACCAAAGTCTTGGCACGTGACACCATGCCATGCTAAGAAGTCTCAATTGACGCTGTCAAGTGACGTGCAAATGAGCATGCAGCTGTAATTTTGCACTTTATTTTTTATTTGTTTATCCTAATGACGTGTATAGCCATTAGATATCTGCAGTTGAGAGACAAGAACCACGCAATTGTAATATTTCTCTTCTGGTGTACAGAAAAGCTTTAATCATATGCACTTGTAATCTTCATAAGTTAGTTAAAACATATTTCCACTAGCTAGTCTCATTAATTTACTGTAATTAAGTTCATGATCATTCACGTTAATACTTGAACTCGTGAAGTTGGGTTGGGCTTGAATTTGAAGTGAAGAGCCGACAACAAATCAAACCCGTGAAGTTGAAGCTGTTGTCAATAACTTCCAAACACTTGAACGGCTAGTCAATAAATATCGTTTGTTACACGTCGCTTTCAATAATTTAGACCGAAGGGTATATATAAGCAAATAAATATTACTTTTAAAGATAAATGGTATTTTGATCTTTTGAAATTGTATTACATTAGTATTGTTTTGATATTTAGATTTAGAGAGTATTATTTTGGTTTTTCTAGGGATAATTGTAAGGTAATATTATTTTAGAAAGTTTTAATCAATTAATAATATATATATATATATTACAAACGTAATTATTTAAATATAAAATCATTAAAAGAAGTGACAATTTTATTATTATTATTAAAATCACCTCATAAATTCTATTTTAAAGACGTTTTATTATCCTTTTATCATTATCAGCCTTCCTTCTTTGACTACCTTTATATGATTGATCGTACTCAAATTATTATCCTCATATAATATCTTAAATATTATCAAAATAAAATAATTCCTAAATTAATAAAAAAAATGAAATTCAAGTAATTTCAATTCTAATGCTCCTAAGATCGCGTTTGGGTTCCACGTGTCCAAGATATTATATTATATGGGAGTGACAAAGACAAGACTGTGTGAGGATGTAATGGCGATAAATTGTTGCAGATTTCAAAAGCATTCGAGTTACAAAATTAGGAATGATGGGCCATTGATCTACTGAGAGTTTCACACGTGTAATAACATATCTTTATCTACGGTGTTGATAAAATACTGTAGGGTCCACCTAGCACCCAATATTAGTTTCTCCAGCGTTTTTAAACTGCAAAAACTAAGACATGTGGCAATGTTCATAAATAGGCATTGTCTATTTGTCTTAAGAAGGAGACAAGTCATCACACGATATACGCCACTTGTCACTGTTGTAGGTAAAGATACGATGAATAGAAAGGTAAGGAAGTGACGGCTTTACCTAAATGGATATCATACTTTTTTATTATTAAAAATAATAATAATTTTTATAAATACTACTTCTTCAAAATGTTTTTTCTATCCAACAAATGAGTACATAATATATTCTAGCTATAATAACGATTTTCGTTCATTTTTAAAATGAAAATTAAAAACTAAGTATTTTACTTTAATTTATCAAAACTTAAAAGCTATCCAACTAGACAATATTAATGAACTTTATTGTTAAATCATTTACCAAATCAGCAATTTAATAATTGGATACGTTAGACTTCATATGATTAACGGGTTCTTATAAGTTATAGACGTTATTTAAAATTATTTTAATTAAAATACATATATCTATCTCATTTAAGGAACAAAAGGATATTAACTCTTTTAAGCATTATCTAAATCAATATTATTATTTCTAACAATGTTCAATATATTCTACTAGATAATGTTCGAGACTAACCAAAATTAACAAAACTTTTATTAAAATACATTTCATATTATTTATATAGTACGGAACAGTTGACCTCGATAGTTAAGATATAGCTATTATCTTTTAAAAATTTAGATTCAAACACGACATTTACAAAAATGTTTGGACTTTCATTGTGTCTCTAAAAATCTCGATTTCGAACACTTCAACCACCACTTCTTAACGTAAAACACTTACGTTATTGTATTAACTTTAAAATGTAGATGTAGAATAATGTAACTACAATTGAACGAATACAAATAAATTTTATTTTATTATTTGTCAATATTTTTTCTAGTTCGGAGAGTGATCGAAGAAAACATATAGTTTTATTCTTCAAATACTCAATGCATTTAAATTTTATCTTCAATGAGATCAAATGAATAATAGTATATATATATATATGAATATATTTAGTGCACACATATTAATGCCATCGTTAAAAATAAAAATTCAAATTACCTAGCTTTTATAGTGGCAATTAAGGGATTATTACTGCTTATCAAATTTATGGAGAAGAAACTCATGACTCAAATAATTGGGGTTTTAAAACATTTCACTTAAATCTGCAAATTGTAGCTGAAAACTGCTTAGCTATAAGTGGGAATTTTAGCTAGAAAAGAGAGACTGTTCCTTGTAAAACTGCTAGTATGGTTTCTCCAAGCTTACATAAGTAAAGACTAAACTGGAGTAAAGGGATTTATGATATAAAGTAACCATAGTTAAAATTAACCACAGTTGGGTTTTAGAGTTGGGGTTGCTGTATATAAGTAGAGAACATCGGCACAGCCTGCAGCAGCAGCAGCAGCCATTACCAGGCTTCAAAAAGCTTCATTTCTGGTAAACCCAAATCTCCTTTCTCCATGTTTCATTGTTCCCATGAAAAGAAATCCTGTTTAGTTCTTGATATGGGTGTCTTTGCTTAAAACAACTCAAATCTTTTACCTCTTTAAAGTTTGCTCTCATGGATTTGGATGGTCTTCAAGGAAAAGTTGGGGTTATACTTTATATTCTTTCTTTCTATTATACATGAAATGTTAAATCTCAAATTGCGTTGTTTATTTAATGGTTTACGAATCGGAAAGTTGATATCCTTTTTCTTTCCTATTTCTGACAACATTTATTGCCATCAAGCAAGGTTTTGAGCATGGTCAGATCTTGATAATGAAAAAGCTGAAGAAAAATCAGATTTCTTTAGTTTCCCCCCCCTGAAGTGTTCCATTAACATAATTTCCCCAATTGAATGCTGGTTTTGTTAGGGGTTACCCGGGTAATTTTCATATCATTTATAGTGATCTTCCTTCTCTTTTGTTTTTGGTGTTTGACTGTGTGCTTATTGGTCGGTGATCTGTTTATCTTCAAGTTCTGTGCATGTGGATGATCTGCTTTTGATCTGTTATATGATCATTTGTCCAGGTAAACATAGTTTAATCTGGAATTTCTCGAATTGCATCTCTCTTTTTTCATATAGGAATCCCGAACTTGATACAAAAAATGGGGCTCTCAAGGCTACCAAGTCCATCAGAAGGAATGCTATGTGTACTCTTGGTAAATGCAGCTTTGTCTTTGTCTATAATTAAAGGCATACTTCGGTCCATCCTTCGGATTATCGGTATCCATCTATCATCGTCATCAACATCCCCGGATTCTACTCGATCATTCACGGATTATAGTGAAAGTCCCGGGGAACCATCTTCATACCGCAAGGCATCTAAAATTTACATCGAGGAGTTCCGGAGTAAGATCCCGACAGTTCGGTTCGACACATTAAGCAGCAGTGAGCGACCCGAGTATGACTGCCCTGTCTGCCGGTGTGAGTTTGAGCCTGAATCAGAGATTAACCTCTTGTCCTGCGGCCATACCTTTCACAAGGAGTGCGCGGAAAAGTGGTTGAGATATCTGAGGGGTACCTGCCCGCTTTGCCGGACTCCTATGGTGGCCGATGAAGAGTTTTCCAGCTATTGGTGAGAAGATTACAAGTGTGACGAGTTGGAGAAAAGTCTCCATTGTACAGCCTGTTTACTTCACGTATAGGTATATATATAGTTTCATGTTGTCAACATGAGGCTTAGTGTGTTAGGCTACCCGCAAGTTTACCTTGATGTGGTGACGTGTTGTGTAATTTTCAGGGTTTCTGGTGTTATATGCAAGTCTCATTTCCGTCTTAAGCTTTGACCTTGGTTGAAATCTTGAATTTCTGGCCTACAGCTTCGAATTCTGTACAACCCGCAATCACCCAATATTTCTTTATGAACTAAAAACCTCTACAAAGAACTAAATCTACTTGTTAAGATCAAAACAAAGTACCCAGATTGCTAAAATGCAAGAATTCAGCTAAAAAGATTAATCATTAGGTGGAAATATACATGTATGATAAAAGTGGGGGATTTTATCAATACACAATGGTCAAGATGTACAACAAAGCCTAATGAAACCTAATCCATCACATTTTACTCTATTGACCGGTATAGAATGGACAGAAATGGTTCATGCAGATGGCACTTGGGCAGGTGTACGAGATGCGTGCCTGTGTTGACCGCTATTCATGTTGACTTCCATGCTTCTTTGAACCATGTCTTCTAGTAATCTCTTGGCGGTGTCGGCAACTTTATCGGTTCTGTTTACATGAATGGCAATATCATACACGATTTTCTCCAGAACTGAGGGAGCCAATTTCTTTTCTTGAGGAGTATCTCTGAGTAAATCCAACAGAATGCGGGCTCTTTCTCGAGCTATGTCAGTGCCTTCTACTGTCAGTCGAAGAAGCCCTGGAATTGCACCTTCATTAAGAATGTGTTCCCTGTACTTTGCTCGGCAGCTTTCGCACAGAGAAAGCAAAGCTCCAACGGCATGTTGTGTGCTGAGGAGAGAGCCATCTTCAACAGTCTCCACCAAGGTTAAAATCCCACCATCCGTATCAGTGATCGCAACTCGTCCTTCTTTGGATTTAGAAAGGATTTCGAGCAGGGCTGTAGCTTTTTCAGCAAACTTGGAGTATTTCTTGCATTCTTTAAGGAGGTTGATAAGTGGGGAAACTGCTTTAGCATCAAGAATTGGAACCGAATTCTCTTTGCAGGTCGACAGGTTGTGTAATGCAGTGACGGCATCGACTTTTCCTTGAACACTTCCGGAGCTAAGGATTTGAACCAGAAAGGGTGCAGCTCCGGAGGATGCAATTGCGGACTTGTTTGGTGCAGCGGCTGAGAGCGTTAATATCGCCGCCGTGGCTAATTCCCTCAAACCATTGTTTTGCAATTTGAGAAGCTCTACGAGAGGAGGTACAGCCCCTGCTGTCACGATATTGACCTTGTTTCTGATAACACAAAACGAGAATGACGAGAGACATGTCAGAATCGTATATTCTAAAACAAAGAAAAAAGAAAAAAGATAGCAGCTAATAAATAAGAGACCTTTCATTTCTAACAGAAAGATTGAGGAGAGCAAGCAGAGAAGTTTGACGTGCATCGAGATTAGGACAACGGAGCATTGAAACAAGAGGCGGAATAACACCAGCAGCAGCAAACTTCAAACGTGTCTTACCACATGATCTCCTAACAACTTTTCTTATATCTCTGGCAGCTTCAATCTTGGCCTGAAGGTCTCCAGTAATCAGCTTCTCTGAAAGCTCCGCTACAAGGGTTCGTTTCCGGTGGTTCCAAGCCTGTTCTTCTTGGTCTTTGATGACGCTGCTGGCGACGGTCATTGGGGTTGTTGGTGGTGTATCCTCTTCTTGGTCATGACCCATTTCTCCTTTTCAGGGTTGTTTCTCAAAGCTGTTAAGCTACTGTGTTTTCTGCCCTTTTTTATCTTTGGACTGCGACTTTCGAGTCTTTTTGTTCCAAAAACCCGACAATGACAAAAGAGAAACTCCAAATATATAAGGTTGTGACATTGTATTGTTTTTATATTTGATTGAATTATCATTTTCATATCATGTTTTACTCATTTACATAATAAGCTTTTCATAAGCTCTAATAACATAAATTTATTTAATTTGTATAAATTATTATGATTTTGATAATGTTTTGTGTAACGTGAGGCTTAATTTTTAAAAGATTTTTCCAGTAACACTAATATTTTAATTAAAAACGATAGAGACGTAGGCGTTTTTACCCAAAAATCACCATGACAGAAATTAATTATCTGTCATACACATTTTCAGAAAATTATATGATCTAACATCTTTTTGACAAGACGCGTATTATGATCCGCGCTTTATTCGAGCTGGCGCCATATTAGGATAATCTTGTCAGAAAGGTGTTAACCGGTAAAAATTTTCGAAAAGGTGTCTAACATATAATTAACTCATGTCATGGTGATTTTTTTTGGTAAAACGTCAATTTTCAAAAACACATTTCTTTTTAATATATATAATTTTATTTAGATAAAATATTAAGAAATTTAGTTTTATTTATTATCTAACTAATTATTATATATTAATTAGTTTTGATTATGCGTAATTAATGAGAAATGCTTTATATTTTAATATTAAAATATGATCATAGTTTATATTCGCTAATTTATTATATAAGATGTAATTAAATAATATGTAAATATTTAAAATGAAAAATATTTGCGTTTTCATTATAATTTTGAAAAGGAAAATCTCTAAAAAAATAAAATAAACTACTCGTATTAATTAAATATTTCTCCTCAAACCATTATTGAACGCAAACTAACCATTACATGATAAAAACATAATTATTTATTAAAAGCGTTAAAAAACTAATCAAACAACTCAAAAAAAAAACAAACGCTATTATTAATAGTAAAAAAAAATATCATTAATACTAATATAAAAATGAATATAATGATGATAGCACGGTGATCATTGGTCTTATAACAATTCAAGCGCGATCCAACTCTGATGATTTAAGAAAATCATGGATTGGGTCAAACTAAATTTTTCACTCACTAATTGACTTGAGTATAACATTCCTTCATTGTCACTTGACTCGGGTTTAGGGAAACTTCACCTTACTTGAAACTCAACTCAATTTTTAGATAAAAATACGCTCTTACAATGATATATATATTTCTCATTTTTTTGGTAAAATGGTGACCTAATTGAAAAATTATAAAGATATGTATTATAGAAATTATCCTTAAATATATAAAGACTAATTATACTATATTTTCAAGTTAGGTCATTAGTTGTATTTATTACTTAAACATGCACCTGACCTAACATAACATTATCCTTCAAAAAATCTTACTCAAAACTCAAATTAAAAAATGATCGTATAGGATCAATCGAATCATAACCCATCAAATTTGAGTCAAATATATATATAATTGATTACAAACATTTATCAATATAGAACTAGTCTGAAAATCTAAATCATGGATAAATCATTAAAGTAGTCAAATGAATGTTATTTAAAGACATAACGTTAAATTTTCTTTTTTTAAATAATATTTAAAAACATACAAATATGTTATAAAAAACAACATCTTTATTAAAAGATTAACAAATTTATTAAATAAAATGATAGAAAATCAAATGTGTGGATAATTTATAAATACAAACGAAAATAATTTTATTTTCTTTTTTCAAATTAGTTAGGTACATATCCTAATTGACTAGTTGTAATTATGATCATTTATTTATCTTATTAACTATAAATATAAATATTATATTTACTCGGGGGAAAGGAATACTTTGAATTTAACCTCCCGAGAGAACAAAAAAGTAAAAAACGTTTAGATAATGGGGGTTAAAAAGTAAAAACGTTTGAATTTTGTCGTTTTTATCCAAAAAAATCACTTTGATATGAATTAATTATTTGTTCATATTTTTTCAGAAAATTTATTGATTAACATTCTTTCTGACAAATTATCTTAAACTACGCATTTTCAAAAAATGTACTAAATCAATAAAAAAAATTAAAAATATGTCTGACAGATAATTAATTTATGTATGGAGTGATTTTTAAGTAAAAACGCCAGAGAAGAATCTCTTCTCTGTTTCCAATACAAGAAAAAAAATTCGTGTAAGCTGCCAATGGCATAGAAACAAGAGGCTCCTGACAAAGTTTTAAAACAACAAATTTGATTACTCCCAGAACAAGATTTCATGTCTCCAATGCAAAGGATTTTTCACATGAAACTTTGGCGGGATATTGTTATTATTATTATAAAGGTTGTTAGTTTATCAGAGTAATCTTTGAATGTTTGAATTGGATTAAAGATGAAAACATGTCATAATCCTACATCATTCACCAGGGGACTTTCACTGATTGCTTCTAGTCTGGGTTGCCATAAAACGCCATTTTTGGACTTCCTTTTCTCTACCTGCTGGGATTGCTTCTTGGAGTCGTCGGCAATGGCAACAATGCCTTCATTCTTGCTGGTTTTAATGGCGGCCAAACCAGTATTGTGCTTTACATCAATGCCTGCAACGTGACATGTTTCTTTGTTCCATTTTTATTCCTGATTTTACAAGTCAATGAGCTACTTACCCCACTTGATAACCCACCCTTCGAGACATCGGTGAAGAATTGTGATACCGAAACGTCTCCGCTGGGCTTTTTGATCCTTCGACGAAGCTTTCGTATGGTATGACGAGGGACGACATAGAATTTCTCACCTGGAGAGAGGATCTCATGTGACCGGACCAATGAATCCCATCGTCTCCTGAAAACTTCTGGTCTAGCTAATACGAAAGTATTTCTTCATGATATAACTGCAGGGATCGCCATGTAGTAGGACTCAACAACCCCACCTGGATGAACAATCTTCAGAGCTGAAGACATCCCACGGCTCTCCCTTGGCCCTTGCTGAATTTGAGCCACTGGTCTAGGCCGACCGTGGCTAGTGAAAGGGGCGAGTTTACGGACATTGAGGATCTTGTTAAGCATGTCAGCTACAATACCTGTGTTCTACAGTGATTCAAATTTATGACAAATATGGCTTAACCAGAATCACCTCGACTCTGCTTATAATCTTCGAAAGAAAGATGACAAGAATGATATGAACTGAAACATCTAAAGATAACAATTAAAGATGGGGGATTTACAACCGTGGAAGAAGATAACAACTATGCAAGATCACTATGGAGAGTCCGAGGCCGGCCATTTTTCTTGTTGTTTAGCTTGGGTTGAAACATCTAAAGATGCTTTGAGATATCCTGCCATCTTTGTTGTCAAAATATCTTATCTGCTTTGTAGTAGCATCATCCAATACAAGAAAACTGGAACTTGTCATTTTATTGCTCTTGGAATATAAATAAATATCCATACACATAATGTTAAGATTATCACAGGGCAATAGTGAGAAAATTGCTAAACATCAATTTTCCATTAAAACTCACAAACCAATCAAAATACTCATGTTTGTTGTTCATCACAAACCAATCAGTTCTTACATGCTGCCTGGAGCAAAGGAAGAAATAAACAAGCAACACTTCTCATCATCAATGGTCGATACAAAAGTACACCATACATCAGCAGAACCTCACCAAGGAAAATTTTATACATGTACATGTATTTTGAACATATATATGTATATACGGGTGGGAAACTATCATGTGATGATTTTCTGGTGCACCTGTAAGAGGAATAAACTCTTTATCAAGTGGCATCGGCTGCATTTCGTCGGGCGCCACCATTCACTATCAATTCTATTGTCTTGTTCAGACTATGAGCTTTCCTCTTTCCAAGGTCGGTATATGTTCACCAGAAGAAAAAGAGGAGCTTAAATTCTAATTTTGTTAAGGCGTAGTCATGCTAACTGTAACTAGCAAATCTGACAGTGATGGCCGTGAGACAAGATAAAGAGCGGGACCTATGAATGGCACCAATGATAAGGGAAGAAGCTAAAAACCATTGTTGTACCTGCAAATAGGAAAAGCATTCCGATACCTTTGTCATGCCATATAATCTTTTCTTAGAGGTTTTGAACCTTTGATTCAAAGCAAGAGCATCATAGTCTCTCTTTTGTCTTACCCCTTACGGGCAGTCATATTATTGTAAACCTTGGTAGTGTAAAATCCAGGGTCATGATGTGAATCTGCAACATCGAGATTTGATTCCCGGCATGAAGATATTTCAATTTCCATGAGATTATAACAACATACTGACAAGACAATCACAAACAATCATGAGTACTCAAAAGATCTACAATCTTACAAATTTGCTTTCCCTGAAGTACTGGTGATGGTGGACTCCAAAGAACAAAATATGGTAAAAGAGCATATGCACCACCAAAGCGTGAAAGTACTAGAAAAGGCCAGGTGAGAATGTTGTTACTTGAGCTGCAGATATATAAAATCTTACTAAATTAGATTGATTGAACTAATTAACGCTAAATACAGTATGCATCTTGGTACAACAATAAGACAGACCGTGGATTCAAGTCCCTGTAACAATCTCTTTCAAAGAACGAAAAAGAGGTGATGAAGATATATAATAAGTTATCACCCATTTCAATAACAAAATAACATGATGAAGATAAAATGTTCAGATAAGGTAAGCGATGAGAGAAGTTGAAGGTACTTTCTGCCTGTTGGAAGCAGCAGCATGCTGTACACTAATGGCCACAATCCCATGATGTACCATAGTGAGACAAGCACTTTATTCATCCTAAAACCATCATCTCCCTTCAAAATCAGGAGCTTTTTTAAAAAATACACGTCCCTTGACTGCAACGAGTTCACATTCGAGTTAACTATTCATTGCAAATGTTTAATTGATTTTTTAAGAATTTCTAAATATGTAAACTCTCGGCCAGTCAGCCTTCAGCATAATCAGGAGAATGTGATGTAGCAATTAGCATCCTGTTTATATGCTGTTTGAACTTCTTAAACTTAAAATGCATAATTTACTACCGTGAACTTGACATTGAAAACTAAATTTACTATTTTCCTAATATGATATCACAAACAAGCGGCATCCTATTAACATTTCATTAAGAAGTTATAAATAGCACGCAAAACAAAGACACGCCAAAAATGAATGCAGAAACTTATCTGGAGAACAATGAGTAACCAATGAACATAGCATCTGAAACTCAAGCTTTAGCGATAATATTTCAGTTCAGAAGATGATTAACAACAACTACAGCAAGTAAATCAGAATCCTAAAGCATCCAAGAAAAAACAAGCTATTTTGAGCAGTGATATAGCCGCTTTACTAAATTCCATCTCAATTCCAAATCTGAGACACAAGAATTCATTTACAATTTGAAGAAAACAAGAAGAAGAAGAAGTTGGGTCTGGAAAATACCGGGATCTGGTCAGGTGTGCATTTGAAAACATAGTACATGAGAACACCCCACAACACAAGAAGCAAAATCGAGATTGTCCAATCCCTTCTTTATTATTATCATCGGAACATAGCATCTGAAACTCAAGCTTTAGCGATAATATTTCAGTTCAGAAGATGATTAACAACAACTACAGCAAGTAAATCAGAATCCTAAAGCATCCAAGAAAAAACAAGCTATTTTGAGCAGTGATATAGCCGCTTTACTAAATTCCATCTCAATTCCAAATCTGAGACACAAGAATTCATTTACAATTTGAAGAAAACAAGAAGAAGAAGAAGTTGGGTCTGGAAAATACCGGGATCTGGTCAGGTGTGCATTTGAAAACATAGTACATGAGAACACCCCACAACACAAGAAGCAAAATCGAGATTGTCCAATCCCTTCTTTATTATTATCATCGGAAAGCCCTTTACCCTGACCCGTTTCTTCTTCAGAATTCTGGGTGTTTTAAGGTACTTTGACATATTCGAAGACCACCCTTTTGCTGAAATAGGGGAATTAAAGGCTTATGGTTGTGGGGTTTAAGGAATACTGAGAAATTGTAGGTTTTTTTGCAAAGGACTTTGTTGGTTGAGATTTCTAGCTTGGATTAAAGCTTTGAACTTTAAAAAGTTTTGAGGTACGTTAGATAAGCTGCAACAGATCATGAGATTGGTGATAGTAGACATTGTGAGAAGAAAAAAAGTCAAGGATTTAAAAAAAACTGAAAGTTAATTGATTCGTTCTTACAGGCCTTAAAATGTGGCTATTTGACCTAACTACACTTTTTTTTTAAATTTTTTATTTTTGACTAATATTTCTAGAAGTAGTATCTTTTCTGCTGAGTTGGCAAAGACGCGTCTTCGGGGACGCGCTTTACCCGTGTTTTCGCTGAGTTGGATGTCACGTGTGGAAGGCGCATCCCGGGGACGCGCCTTTGCCAACTCAGCAGACACGTGTGGAAAGCGCATCCCCGGGACGCGCCTTCCATTAAATGTCATAAATGCCCTATCTGTTTTTCCTAACTACCCCTCCTCCTCCCCTATATAAACCCCCTCAACCCTCCCTCATTCTTCACACCAAAATCATCTTCTCCTCTCTTATATAACTCAAATTCTCCAATTATTTGAGTTTTAAATTTGTTATTAGTGGTAAGAAATTTATTTTTATGTTAGTATTTTTTTAAATAGTTATTATTTTTTATATTAATATATTTATGTAAATATTATATTTTTATTAAAATAATATTTATATAATTATTATTTATTTAGAATTATTAATTTTTTTTACTAATTATATTGTTTTGTCTACAGTTATAATGGAAAACGAAATATTGTTGCGATTGGATATTGATCATATCTCCAGACATTTTAGCGATATGGTAATATTTTTTATAATTAATGTTAATATTTAAATTTATTTTTATTTTAAAGTTATTATGAATTTATATTAATTTTTATTTTTTATAATGTATATTATTAGGATGTGATCGTATTTTAGAGACTTTTATTAAAAATCATGTATACCGACACCGGAACGTATTTTGCCATATTTGGCTTCTGCCGGGTTCGGGTATATTGCAACAATTATAGGCGGTTGCAAACTCGAACCTGTCCTAATTTCTGCACTGATTGAGAGGTGGAGGCCCGAGACACACACTTTTCACCTTCCATGTGGAGAGGCGACAATTACATTGGAGGATGTCTCTATGCATCTGGGGCTTCCCGTCAACGGAAATATGATGTGTGGTATGGCGGATGGTGATTGGTAATCAATGTGCATTGATTATCTTGGAGCTGCTCCGCCAGAGTTTAATGGAGGTAGAATAGCTTTATCTTGGTTGAAAGCTAATTTTGAGTTTTAAATGAAAATGCTTCAGAGGATCAAGCAAAGGCATGTGCTCGGCATATATTCTACGAATAATTGGAGGAATATTGATGCCCGACAAATCTCGCAACCAGGTGCATTGTATGTGGTTACGACATCTGATCGATTTTGATGAAGCTGGAAGATATAGTTGGGGTGCTGCAGTTTTGGCATTTCTCTTTAGAGAAATGTGTCGGGCGACGAATTATAAGAAAACTGCTATCGGTGGATGTCTTCTGCTTCTACAATCATGGGCGTGGTTCCGCATGCCTTTCTTATGCCCGATCGTGAATGAACCATACGTATTCCCCTTATTGTTGAGGTAATTTTCGAACTAAATTTTGATTTAAATATTTTCAATTAAATAGGGTGATATTTAATTTATATTATATTTCATAGGTGGTCGATGAAAAGAAATGACCATAAAAGTATACCTACTGGGTTAGAGGAAATTCGTTTACTTATTGATACGAAAGTTGGGTCTGAGGTATGTTTTTAAATTTGTTTAATTATTAATATTTTAATTTAAAATGTTAGATATAATTAGAATATTTTATTTATTTGAATTGTATATTTATATTTCAGTTTCAGTGGATACCTTATGCGAGCGATGAAGTGAAAGCTTGCATCCCACCCCACCTTAGTGGGTCATTAGAGGTATGGATATCGTTTATACCTCTTATATGTTATGCTATTATTGAGTGGCATCCAGTTGATCGCGTGCTCCATCAGTATGGTTGTACGCAATATATTCCTGGAGCTCCTAGGAATTTAGACGACGTGCATAACATAGATAGACGAGGGAAGAAAGATGTTAACTGGGTGGTGAGACACAGATATTGGATTACGCTTTGGGAGAACCGATATACACTGGTGGCCCCTCGACAATATTACGCTGAAACTGGTCATATGGTTACGGATAACTATATGGACTGGTTTAATGAAAATGGGAAGCCGTTTCTACTTTCGGCGGAAGCACGAGGGGTTAACATTCCTAGGCGCCGAGAAAGACGTCAACCATCTCAATATCATCGTCCCCCGACGCGTGGACGGAGAGAAGGCGCTACCGGTTCTGCATCAGTCCCACCACAACATCCTTATTCGTCGATGCCGCAGGGGTACATGCCCAGCCCTCCACTTCATATGCCAAGCCCACCAGTTTATATGCCATCTCCGCAGGGTTACATTCCGAGCCCGCAGGGTTACATTCCGAGCCCGCAGGGTTACATTCCTAGCCCGCCAGGTTACATGCCTAGCCCGCAGGGTTTTATACCATATGGAGGTGCATATACGACTATGTTTAATGATCCAGCATATGGTTCATATGCATCTTATTTGGCTGGTGGTGCTTCTCCGCAGACACCTCAATCTCCATCTGGATCACAGACATCGATGCCAATGTTTCCACAGTTTTCACAGTTCCCGGGGAGCGGTGGGATTGTTACTAGCACTCCTCCAGGGTCGTTATTTTATACAGGCCCTTCAGCCCCTTCAGCATCATCTACACCAAATGAAGAAAATGCTGATGATGATAGTGAAGATGAGGAGACTGAAGAACAAGTTCCACGAAGAAATCCTCCACGAAATAGACAACCACCGCCATGTGGAACTCATTCGAGAAGACGACATCGGTGATCCAGTTATATTTAATGTTATTTAAATAATTATATTTCAGAATTTTATGTAATTTGTTTATGTTATTTAAATGTTTCATGGTTGTTACATACATATTTTTTAATGTTATTTTTATTCACATTTAACATTAAATGTTTGATAAATGTTTTTAAAATACAAATTATATTATTCGAAATTTAAAATAAAAATAAAATAATATTATTCAAATTTAAATTTAAAATATAAATTATAGTATGAAATTTAACATTAAATTTCAACTTAATATTCCAATTGTATTCGAAATTAAAAGTTATATTCCAATTATAGTTCACAATACTTAAATTGAAATTAAATTTATCCATACATATGATTTTATCATTAACATATATATTAAAACGTATACATTAAAATCAACTTATGTTGAGTTTATCGATCGACGGAATCGGCCAAGAGGGGTGAATTGGAAATTTATTCAATGTCACATTTCAATGCTCATTCCATACAATTTCAATGTCACAATCAACTTATCACTTCACATTTATTCAATTTATCCATAACATTTTATCTATTTATTCAAACTTCACATAACGTTTTAATTTAAGTTATTATTAACTTGCTGAACTTTCAAAAGAAGTTAAATTTTGGTTATAATTTACCTGATTTACTGATATATCTAGTGTCCCCGAGGGACATGAGTGACATAATAGGGCAATGATAACATATTCTCTGACGAAATAATGGAAGGCGCGCCCCGGGAACGCGCCTTCATGTGAATAGTGAAATAAAGGTACCGATATATCGGGTGTCCCCGAGGGACATGAGGACATAATAGGCAATGATAACATATTCTATGGCAAAATAATGGAAGGCGCGCCCCCGGGAACGCGCCTTCATGTCCCCTGAGAAATAATAGGTACTGATATATCTAGTGTCCCTGAGGGACATGAGTGACATAATAGGGCAATGATAACATATTCTCTGATGAAATAATGGAAGGCGCCCCCCCGGGAACGCGCATTCATGTGAATAGTGAAATAATAGGTACTGATATATCGGGTGTCCCCGAGGGACATGAGTGACATAATAGGGCAATGATAACATATTCTATGGCAAAATAATGGAAGGCACTCCCCCGGGAACGCGCCTTCATGTCCCCTGAGAAATAATAGGTACTGATATATCTAGTGTCCCCGAGGGACATGAGTGACATAATAGGGCAATGATAACATATTTCTGATGAAATAATGGAAGGCGCGCCCCCGGGAACGCGCCTTCATGTGAATAGTGAAATAATAGGTACTGATATATCGGGTGTCCCCGATGGACATGAGTGACATAATAGGGCAATGATAACATATTCTATGACGAAATAATGGAAGGCGCCCCCCCGGGAACGCGCCTTCATGTCCCCTGAGAAATAATAGGTACTGATATATCTAGTGTCCCCGAGGGACATGAGTGACATAATAGGGCAATGATAACATATTCTCTGATGAAATAATGGAATGCGCGCCCCCGGGAACGCGCCTTCATGTGAATAGTGAAATAATAGGTACTGATATATCTAGTGTCCCCGAGGGACATGAGTGACATAATAGGGCAATGATAACATATTCTCTGACGAAATAATGGAAGGCGCGCCCCCGGGAACGCGCCTTCATATGAATAATACTCCGATTATATACACTATTATATGCAACGTATTATAAAATTTCAAAACAAACTTCAGTTCACAATCTTTCAAATTCTCAAATTCCCAAACTCTAAATTCTCAAATTCTCTGAAAATGAGTCGTCTTTCTGCTGTTGTTTTGTATGATGGAGAAATTAAGGAAACTGAAGAGGGGGTTGTTTTTGAGTCAGATCATTATGTCCCCTTAACCTTGAAGAGAAACATCACAATTGAGGAGTTAATCAAAAATTTCGTTAAAGATTCGTGTAGCAGGCCAGAGAAGACTATCTTACTTCAGTACAGATTTCCTACTGAACTTTTTCCGCTCACGTATACATCATTTCAGCTTTCAAACGATGATGATGTTTCTATGATGGTTGATGCTCATATGGGGAGTTCACAATCTCTTATTGAAATGTATGCCACTTTTATTGAGGTTTGTGCAACTCGTGGTATCTCATATTCCTCTCACTTTGGCATTGCATATCAAACTAATCAAGTTGATAGCCCGACACAACTGATCTGTAATGATTTCACATCATTAATGGCGGATCCAACGCCATATACCATGCCATCAAGTTCAATAGGAAGGCATTCATCTGCAACTGCTTATGATCTCAACCCACGTGGCTTCACCAATAATCCATATGGCAACATCTCTTCTACTTCAAGGGGCAGACATTCATCTTCCAATGTTTTCGACTTACATATGGAAATGCCAACGAGACGACAGTCTATTCACATCCCACATGATACAATGACCTTAAGTTCAAGGGGAGGACACGCAAGCGGGAACTTATTTGACCTCAACATTGGATTATCGGAGGAACCCTCATCTCCACCAGAAGAACCTCTTCGGGAGCCAGGTGTAGATGGTGCTGAAACGGGATTATTCGTTGAACCTGACTCACCACAGTTTAACGTACATTCTGATGATGACGAGGATGACGTTCCGATAAATACAACATCAGCCGAACTTCATGCACATATGTATGAGGCTGATTATGATGCAATGTATGAGCCTGAATTTCCAGATCTTCCTGATGTTGGCAACTATAGACTTCAATCATCAGTCAATGACGGTAATTTACATATTGGAATGGAGTTCGCATCGAAGGAGGAAGCAATGATGGCAATAAAGAGTTACAATATTCGTAACTCATTTCAGTCCTGAGTTGATCGATCTAACACGGAGAAATATGTCTGCTAATGCGTCTAACGTGACAACGGATGTCAATGGATGGTCCGTGTATCAAAGAGGAATAGGAAGAACAACTTATGGGAACTAACCAGATACAACGGTCCTCATACATGTTGTGCAACAGGTATAAACCAGGATCATCCCAACTTGGACTCCAACATTATTTGTCAAGCAATCATGCCCATTGTGAAGCAAAGCTCTCATATAGCTGTTGCAGTGTTGATTTCTGTTATACAGTCACAATATGGGTACACTGTCTCATATAAAAAAGCGTGGTTAGCAAAACAGAATGCCATTTGCAAACTTCATGGCGAATGGGATTCCTCTTACAACGAGCTACCCAGTTGGTTTCATGTTGTGCAAAGACTTAATCTCGGGACAATTGTTGAGTTCGAAACTCAACATCATTACGTGAATGATCGAATGGTTCGCGATCGCTGCCAATTTTACCGAGTCTTTTGGACTTACCCTCAGTGTATTAATGCAGTCAAATACTGTAAACCAATTGTCCAAATTGATGGTACTTTCTTGTATGGGAAATACAAGCAAGTTTTATTATTGACTGTGGTCCAAGATGGAAACCGCAATATTCTTCCTGTTGCGTTTGCCCTCGTTCAAGGAGAAGACACTGAGTCTTGGGCTTTTTTCCTTAAAAATTTACGTTTACATGTTGTCACCAGGGAACGAGTATGCATTATTTCAGACCGAGGAGCCGGGATAAAAGCAGCAATGGACTCTTTGGGTACAATGTATAGACCTCCACATGTTCAACATCGTTATTGTGTCTGTCATATTGCTGCAAACTATTACGGAAAATACAAGAAGAACGATGAACGTCAGTTAGTCGTGCGGATGGGTATGTTACTTTTTCCCAATTTTTCTATCAATTCTTATTACTTATTTATACTTCATATTAACTATTACATATTCCTAATGGCTTAGGTTACGAACTCTTACCTCAAAGGTTTGAGTCGATGCTACAAGAGCTGTTTGGCAAAAATAAGAAGGGATGCGAGTACATTATGGACATCAGCAAAGAAATGTGGACAAATGCATATGACGGGGGGTATCGCTATGATCATATGACAACAAACTTGGCTGAAGCAATAAATTCAACCTTAAAGGGGGGCGCGTCATTTACCAGTCACGGCGTTGGTTAAAACGACTTATTTTCGTTTGGGTCAACTCTTTGCAAAGCTCGGTGGACAAGCTCTTACTTGGATGCAAAACGGACATATTTACCACCCAAGACTAGTAGTTGATTTACAAAAAAAAAAGTGGCTGCATCAAATGGGTTGTTATTTACAAATTTTTCTCGCACCCGTGAATTGTTTCGTGTAACCGAAATGCAAACGTCCCCTGCAAGGGATTGAAGCTAACTCTTTCAGAGTTAATCTGCAATAGAGGTGGTGCGATTGTGGTTTCTTTCAAGCACTCAAATATCCATGCTCTCATGTCATTGTTGCTTGCTCACATTCGCATTTGGATTACAAAAATTATGTTGATCCCGTATACCAACTTTCACAAGTATTCAAGGTATATGAATTTGAGTTTCCGCCCATAGGAAACGAAAGAGACCCAAATGAGATTCAAACTTGGCTTACAATTGTACCAGATCCATTGCTATTGAGGGACTCATGTCGTCCAAAATCTACTAGAATACATTGTGATATGGATATTCGGGAGAAGTTAACAGAACAAAAACGATGTGGGCATTGTAGAAACATCGGGCACAATAGAAAAAAATGTTCAGCTCTGTTATCATCATATAACCGTTAACTCTTAAGTAATTAATATTGTATTTAAATAAATGTTTTTGTTTCTAATAATTTAATGTTATTGCATTTATATAATTTGTCAATGTATGTACACCTAAATAATTTTTTTTAACTTTTAAATACATAAATATATTTAATATATTTATTTAATATAATAATTAATATTATTAGTTATAATTTTTTTTAAAATATAATAATAATTCCACCTTCTAAGTAGAGAAAAATATTAAATTAAACAAATTAAAAGTTATTAAAAAATTTATGTATACGATGACACATTTCATGTTCTGATTGGAGGATTAAATTTATTAAATTAAATTTTCAATAAGACTAATTTTATAAAATATGTAAGTCTTGAAGATTAAATATGTAATTATACTAATTTATTAACTTATACATCAATATTTTCGTTAAATATTGATATGAGATGACTATATTGATAACATTTAAATAATTAACTGATAAAATTAATAGATCGATAATCAAAATCAAAAATAATAATATAACCATATGTGTAATATTATAATTTCATACATTTTTCCTATAATCGAAACATTTTATAATAATAATAAAATACGTGTCTGCTGATTCTTACATTTGATAATTCTTACATTATAATCGAAACATTTTACATAATATATTATTAATTTATAATAATAATAAAAATAAACTATTTATTATTAAATAAAATACGTGTCTGCTGAGTTGGCAAAGGCGCGTCCCCGGGGATGCGCCTTCCACACGTGGCATCAACTCAGCGAAAACACGGGTAAAGCGCATCCCTGGGGACGCGCCTTTACCAACTTAGCAGAAAGGGTACTACTTCTGGAAATATTGGTCAAACGGTGTCAGAAAGGGAAAATTTAAAAAAAAGGGTGTCAGTTATGTCAAATAACCTAAAATGTGAGCTTAGATATTTCAAAACTCATTATGAAGTATCATAAGATTAGAATTAATGTAAGCTAGCTGGTAGCAGGGCCGGCTCTGGGCAGGGGCAAGAGGGGCTCCCGCCCAGGGCCATAATTTTAATTTATATTAATTTATTATATTTTAATAAATTAAATTAAAAATAGTGTCTATAAATATTAATATATTATTTTCTTAATTAATATAAGAGGGCTCATAAACTTATTTTTTATTAATTTATTGTTCTCATCATAATGTTAAAAATTATATTAATATATTAAATTAAAAGCAACCCATAAATATTAATAAATTAAATTAAAATCAGGGCCCATAAACTTATTTTTTATTGACTTATTGTTCTCATCCTAACGTTAAAAACTAAATTAATTATAATGTCAATTTTGAAAACTATAGAAATAAGGAGTTTATAGATATTGATAAAAGCCTTGCATTAGATATGAACATAGAGCCAATTTTTTCGACTAAGCGTCGTATTTTTAGAAAAAAACAATTTGATGAGAATGACCATGAAGAAGAAATGAAATCAACAAAGGAGTCTTTTAAAGTTAATTATTATTTTTGTTGATATGGCGATCGATACTTTGAAAGATTAATTTGAGCAGTTAAAGATTTTTGAAAATTATTTTGGATTTTTAATTGATTCTACAAGGTTGAAGTCATTGGATGACAATAAATTAAAAGAATGTTGCAATAATTTTAGATTATTTTTTCTCATAATAATTAATCGGATGTTGATGCAGATGATTTTTATTCTAAAATGAAAGTGTTGCAATTGACTTTGTCAAATGTATTCATGTCAGCGCTTGAAGTTCTTTAGTTTGTTAAAACTAGAGATTGTTATCGTAATGTTTCAATTGTTATCAAATCTTATTAACAATGTCGGTAACGGTAGCATCCGCGGAAAGAAATTTTCAAAGCTGAAATTATTGAAGAGTTACTTGAGATCAACAATGTCACAAGAAAGATTGAATGGACTAGCTATGTTATATATCGAGAAAAATATGTTGGAAAGCATTGATGTTACACTATCATCAATGATTTTACATCAGGAAATACTCGAAGGCAATACTTTTTATAAGTATTTATATATTTAAATATGTTTTTGACATTTTTAATATTGTAATGAATTAATATTTATTTAATTTAATAAAAAATTAATTAAAATTTTATATTACATAATTTTTAATATTCTTTTAAATTAGAACCTATTTTTTTAATTTTACCCGGATAAAAAAAAGTCAGAATTGGCCTGCTGGTAGGTGCGGCTTGGAAAAAAGAAAAGTGGATCTAAAACTGTGAGCAGTGTTTGGATAGAAAGAATGCGAAGGAAAAAGAATATGAAATCCAAAAACATTTGGACACGCAAGCCTAAAATATTGAGACAAAAAAATAGCATTAATATCGAGTTTTTGTTCTGTTCTGTTCTTCCGGTTTCTAAAACAGGGAACTCTTCAATTTAATCCAAAAGAAAAAAAAATGAGTTCAATATAGTTTCCGACAGAAAGCATATCTTCTAGGTATTACTAAATTTATCATTAAAATTTTCTATATCTTCTAGGTATTATTAAATTTATCATTAAAATTTTCTTAACACTATCTCTTGATCTTGTTCAAAAAAGAAAATAACAACAGATTATCTAAACTGTAGGGTTGTGTTTTTGTTTCGTAGAGATGACGGGAAAAAGATGGAAGACAAGCGTCGAAATTGCATGTTTAGCAATGGGGTTTTTTCTATGGAGCTTAAAAGTAGCAGAAGGGGTAAGATTCGAGATAGACAGAGAAGAATGTTTATCCCATGAAGTCAAGTACGAAGGTGACACTGTTCATGTCTCTTTCGTCGTCATTAAGGCTGATGCCCCTTGGCATTTTAGCGTCAATCTTGTATAATCTTTCCTTTTTTCTGGGTTCGAATCGTTCCATCGGATTGATTGATTACCAGTTTTATGTTTGTCGCTGAATGTTGATGGATTGCTGCTGCAAATATTAACACTGTCAATTATGGTGAGATGAACAGATACAGGGACCAACAGAGGAACAGATTCAAGATCTTCGTAACAAAATAAGTGAAAAGTACGAGTTTGTTGTCCACAAGAAAGGGGTTTACAGATTCTGTTTTTTTAACAAATCTCCTTATAATGATACCATTGATTTCGATATACAAGTTGGGCATTTTACGTACAGTCATCATCATGCAAAAGATGGTGAGCTTAAATGCTGGTTCCTTTCAATGATAAACTTTTTCAATGATATTTGCAGAGCCTTTTGATCCGTTGATGGAGCAGATAACAAGACTGGAGGAAGCCCTTTACAATATCCAATTCGAACAGCATTGGATCGAGGCTCAGACCAATCGACAGGCAATAGGTATCAATATGTCACCCTATTTCTTCATTTTTCTCTTTAGAACGCTCATATTTGTCTAAAACATATTCGAACATGCTAGCAGTGAATGATAGCTTGGGGCAACGAGCACTTCACAAGGCAATTTTGGAATTAGTTGCACTTGTTGCAGCAATCGTCCTTGATTGAGGTTCTGCTGGGTTAAAATACGGTTAAAAAATGACGTGATTGGTTAAATAGATGACCAGTTAAAAGTGTTATCGATAATATTATATGTCTTCACCGGAAATTTTATTTGTGTTGATAATAATAATAGTAATACTAGAAATGTTATCGCTGTATGTAAAATAGGCCAAAAAAATATTGATTTTAATAATTTAGGTAAATTATTGGAAACATTAACAATTGTAATAACATATTAAGTAGCACATATTTAATGTAATAAGTTGTGTTTGTTTAAAGCTGATTAGCCTTAGAAATCCGATGATAACAAAATAGATTAATTACTTATTTTGTTATTAATATTACCAACATATTAGGTAGCGCCTAAAATGTTATCAAAGTTTAAGCTAATGAGACTTTAGAAATCCGATGATATTAAAATAAGTTAATTATTTATTTTGTTATTAATATTATCAACATATTATGTAACACCTAAAATGTTTCCAAAGTTTAAGCTAACAGGGCTTTAGAAATCTCACGATAACAAAATAAGTTAATTACTTACTTTGTTATAAATATTATCAACATATTAGACTGCGTCTAATATGTTACCAAAGTTTAAGATGATGAGGCATTCGAAATCTCACAACAACAAAATAGGTTAAATATTTATTCTATTATAAATAAATATTAACATACTAGGTTGCGCCCAATAATATTATTGTGAATAAAAAAGTAGGTTACGATCTAGAAAATTAAAGTTGTGTTTAATGAAATCGGTAGCGATTTAATATATTACGTATCTTTGGATGAAAATTATTTTTAAAATAAATATCAATACTACTATGATCTGATGGTCGATACTTTAGCAAATATCGATATCATCTATGTGTTCGATATTTTATCATTTTAGAAACTTGTTAACTTGAAAAAAATTGAAATATTAAAATCGAAAGTTACTTATTTACAAAATTCCATTAAAATATCTTTGTAAAAATATCGATACTTAGTGTAGATGTATGAAAATTATTAATACCGATACTTAGTGTATATGTATCGATACATATTTAGGAAAATTATTAATATCCAATATCGATACTTTAGAATTTTAGATTTTTTATTACTGTTATCGAAATTTTATCATTTTGAAAAAGTTAATAAATGTTAAAATATCGATAATTGATATTTTTGAAAAAAGTTGATGAAAAATTATCTAACTTAACCTCTTTTTCTACATTTTTTAATTTTGTTTTAACAAAATTTTATTGCTTGGACCAAGTTTAGTTGTTGAAAATTTTAGCATTTGATTTCCAGAGTAAAATGGCTAAAATTAATTAGGGTATTTTTCTTCCTTTAGTTCGTTGAAACTGTATCATTAGTTTTTGTTGTTGCTGATGTTTCCCTATACATTTTTTCCTCATATAAATCACGTAAATGTCCTCTAAGCCGTATAAACCCTAAACCCCTCACATCAACCTACAAATATGTATACTTTCAAATTAAAAAAAAAGCAAACGGTTAAGTTGTAAATATTTTATTATTTATATTATTATTATACCTTTAAACAAACCGGTAAATAATTTAATGTAATAGGTAACACCTATTTTATTTTAACATGTTAAGTTGTAAATATTTAACTCTTTGCATTAATATTATACCTTTAAACAAATCGGTAAGTAATTTAATGTAATAAGTAGCGCCTATTTTATTTTAACCGGTTACGAGAGAAACTAGATCAAGCAACCATTGAATTCATAGTTGAGAAAACTAAGATAGATCACAAAGCTAAAAACGCAACCCTTGTGATGTACCTAAGAATCATAAAGGAATACAAAGCTACTTTGATCTAGATCTAAGAACACCAAAAGAGCACTAGTTTGCTCTTCAAACAACGAGTCAACATGAGTCAAACATACTTACAATCACAGGTAATTCTTCCACACAGATTTAGAATAGAAGCAAATCAAGCACAAACAATGAAAAAGAGTGGAAGAAACAAACTATATAACCTCCAGATTTGAAAAACTCTTCCATAGAGGCTTGATCTGCAATCCCAGTGACAAAGAATCAACGAGAAGACCATAGAAACCATCAACGAATCAAGTTGCGGATAAAACCACCACAAGATTAGACGAATGATACCATGTAAAGATAACAATAAAATTATCTAAAAGAGCAGAGTAACAGAAGAGGGAGAGAGAAGAAAACGTTCAGTAGTCTTTTATTATTGAAAATCTCATAATGCATTAAAGCACTGTGACTAACCTTTTTATACATGAGCAGAAGTAACCCATGCTAACAGAAACCCTAACAGCCTCAACTAACTTCTAACAAACTCATGCGCAAGGCAACACAAACACGTTGCACTCAACAGTGATGGACCCAACTTGTACTCCAACATCCCCCTACATTCTAATCCTTCTAAACCTTTAACCTTCAACATAAATCATTTAATTTTTTCAATAACAAAAGACGTTGATAAAATATTTAATATATACTATTAAAGATGAGAATTAGATTGTGAATAAGAATAAGAATGAAAGTAAACTTTAATTTTTTGTTTTATTGTGTATTATTGAAAAAGATGATGATTTGGAAAATATAATATCAATATATAAATGATACAAAAAAATGAATGATGTAAACTTTTTAAATTAATAGAACCATAAATAAAGGGAATAGTTTCTCCTTTGAACATTCTTTTCTCCTTTAATTTTGATTAGTTTAATATAATTGGAGATTAATATGAGTGTGTTAAGGTGTGGCAGCCACACGTGTCGGCAGGAACGTGATAGACTGTTCAGCCACGTCGGCAAGCACGCCAACAGCCGAGCTCCACCGACACTTCTCCCCGGTTTGGTTATTGTTTTCAGCTTCATTATCCGCCTCTGTCCGTTTCATTTTACTTCAGCATTTAATTAAGTTAGATGCTTTCTTGATTCCGAGGTTTACTTCTTCGGAGAGTAAGCAGTAATTAATGAGAGTTTTCTTTCTTCGTTTTTTTTACTCTCTTAAATTTGAGTCTTTTATTATTATAAAATTTTCATTAAATTTTTTTTTGTTTATTGATGCTTCTTTCATTGAGCAGTTTTTATAAACAAAATAATTAACTGTGATTTAAACAAGAAATCTCAAAGTCGAATCTATTTAGAAAATAAGTCGAACTTGCATATGCATGCTAAGTTAGATTTTACATTAAACCTATGTAACCAATTTTGCATAAATGATAAAAGTTGTGTTATTATTCGATGAAGTTAAAGGTTGTGATTTATATATGTTAACTTGATCAATCGAAATGTTAAGAGAGATTTTTCAAGTTTTTTGTAAATAAATTTTTTTGTTAGTGTATTTTTAATGATTTTAATGAATTAGATACTTAAATAATAACATCAAAAACATTAGAAATTTACATTGAAAAAAATTAAACATCTAAAATAAATAATAAATATAATTAGAACATTTATTTTTTAATTAGACCTTTGCATACAGAGAAAGCGATCCAGTTATCCTACGCAACCCATCACCATATCACCCAAATTTTATAAAACCCAAAACAGAACTTGATCTACCTAAAACATCAAAAGTAGATTAATAATTCTTTTAATCATTAAGATTACTTGATAGATTAAAAAAATTTAAAATTTAAAAACTCAATTGAGTTATTTTAAGTAGAATATCGTTTATTTTGTACGAATATGGAGATTAAAGTATACTACTATACATCTAAATTAACAAGTTTCAACCCAAACAATGAATAAGATGCATGATGCAAAATGGTCCATCTATCATTTCATTGTACTCTTCATACTGGTTGCTTTATTAAATTTTTCCCATTTTACTCTTCCTCCTTTTTCATTTTCGAACATCTAATAATAATTGTCAGCAAATGCTCAGACACATAAATTTAATATGGCCAACTTATCAAAAATGATCTCTGCTACATAAATAATAGAACGATTTAGAATAATTTATTACTCTTGCTTACTTTAATGAATATTAAGAGAAAATGAAAAGGATGATGCAGTAGCAGGGAGGGTATACAAAGTTTACAATAATATTACTGCCACATGAAATAGTAACGTAAAATATTGCAGCGATATCAGATTTCTAAATTCGTAAAAAAGTTGCACCAAATCCAGATGGATCAAAAAAGAACAGAACTTGAAACATTTGGAAATAAAAATGTAAAATATTATCATCTTAATTAGGCTTCAGTCTCAAACCTTGAACACTTGATGGATCCCATGGATATGTCGATCTCTATCAGGTTTTCCTCTTCATTCATGTCGTTCAACTCTGCTAGAAGCTCCATTAAACTCCGTTGCTGGAAAATGGATTCCGGCAATTTCTGCTGCATAGTACTGTAATTATTTGGCTCGACTTCTTTGTGCTTAACGTAATGTCCCCAGGAAGTGAGATTTCAATGAGACTATCCTCGTCGGATATCGATCCTTCGTCCGACCAATCCGGCGTTCGATCCATGTTGTCCCGAAATGGCGACTCCACTTCGGAATCTTCCGTGGTTGATAACTGATAATCAAAACATTCGTTTTCAGACAAGACATCTGGTGATTTGGCTATGTAGTCATGGATCTGATTATCACATGAACCACTTTCCTCTTCTGAGTTTTGCTTATTAATTTCAGTTTCAGGCTGTTGTCTTGATGCCGAAGAACCTTCCCTTTGAGGCGAGCTTTGCTCCACAGATTCATGAATATTATCCTCTTCGACTGATTCCACCGTCAACTTCGGCTTGTTCTTGGA